TAGATGCGACTTCAAATAAAATACACGCGTTTCCGATTTTCCCAAAAAAGGTCATTTTCGAGTTGTAGAGAGAGTAGACAACACGCGTCTTTGGAATCGCTTTATTACTTTTGTGCTCACATCAAGCAAATGTTTAGAAAACAAACGAGCTATTGTCTACATAAAAAGCCATTTAAGGGCATATTCAGCTACAGAAAGTTGTACGTGTAGTATGCTTGTATGTACATATACAAAATATTAAATTTATATTTGGCTGCTTGTGGAAACCTTAAAATCCACATCCTTCTCTGAATCTGATGCCTTTTTCAACTTTTTTTGCGGGGCTGAAACAACGTATTAATATTATTACTGCGCGATATGATTTGGAAAAGGTAGCAAATGTTTTTAGTTATCGGTACCATAAAACAACTTTGTCAAGTAAGATGCTAGAGTATAAAGTCATACAAGGTTAATAAAAAATTCAAAATAAGAGTCTAAACTTATTATAAAACACTGTCTATGTTAAAGAAATTAGGTTGCACCGAAACTATAATATCCTTCACAAATATAAAAGGTTCCATACAAAAGCTTTTTTTGAAGTTATCTCGTAAACTAAAAAAGTTTTCAAACAATGATATGATTTTAATAGTACAGTATGTATGATAGCTATATGCTATGGTGATCCGGTATGGGCGGGTCTGAAAAATTAGCAGCTTCTTGGGGAAAAAATGATGGGTGCAAAATTTTAGATCGAAATCTCAAAAACTGAGGGACTAGTTCGCGTATACATATAGTAGACGAACAGACAGGTGGACATGTGTAAATCAACTAATTTATATTTATGTATATATTTTATAGGGTCTCCGACACTTCTCTCTTCATGTACAAACTTCATATACCATGTTCAGAATATAAATACAGTCTACTAATACAGCAAGTAGTTAACTTTGTTGGTTTGAGAGTTACTATGTGCCATATGTGGTATATGACTTATGGACTTCACGTTCATACAATGGTTTTGAAAGCTAAAGTTGCTCTAAGTTTTGTTAAACATGCTAAAACTCAATTTTGGGGTTAGTCCTATAAGGCAATATAGCTTTGTGGTATGGGACCCAATTAGCAAATCCGTACTGTCAAGTTAGAATCCGTTCAAAAACAATTTTGGTGTTTTGCCTTAATGCCCTTCCGATAGAATTCTAGGTCAAGTCTTCCTCCATACACTAGTGATTTAAAACATCTAAATCGACCTAAACTCTCTAGTCATAAGAAAATGCTTGGAATAATATTCTTAGTGAAACTCTAGAATGGATCAGTTTGTCGTTTTCAACCGTAACCGGCATAGATCCAGATATATATGAGTATGCATAAGGCTACGTAATATTTCCCAAAATATTTTTATATTGAAGTTGATTAAGTATGGTTGACCACAAACCTTTCAATCAGAACTCGTCGTTTAATTATTTGTTTTTGTTAATAATCTTTGATACATATTTATTTAATGCGAGCGAAGCCACGGAAAAAGTTAGTAGTATATATTTCTGAAAACAGATATTCTTATATTTGTAGAAACTTTCTCATGTTATATTAAGTGGCTTCCTTCTCTGTGTTGTTTACGTATTGTTAATTGATCATTTTAGACGAGACAAATAATTCAAAAGACCCAGTAAAATGATGGTATAACATTGTGACTATTCAATGTTGATCTTTTTCACTTTAAACGTGATATGCCCACATTCTTGTCAATGATTTCCGACTCTAATGAACTGACAATAAGGTCTTACATTTAATTTGAATCCTTATGAAAACTTCCTAATACAAAGCTCATATGAAGTTCGAAGAATGTTTTTTACATCAAATAAGAAGAAATTCACTCATTTCACTGCATTCTACCACAGGTGAAATTTTGCACGAAGAACTCGACACTTACTAAGAAATTTAGGTTTCTTCTACGTGTGTACTATTAACGTAAATTTAATTTAGAACCTTAAAACTCAGCTAAACCATTTTAGTACAGGTATTTCCAAAATATTAAATAAAAAAGAAAACAAATAAAACTCGGCCAACGTACGATTTAACTATTTTCCACAAAGTTCAAAATTCTTCCACTCCACTTCGTTTCTCTCATTCGCAAATGACATCACGACCTCTGTAAGTGTGCTTTTACATTGGGATTCAAAAGAGTCTGATGTTTTTCAAATTTTCTTTTGGTGTCGCTCTGGGCATTCACACGGTCAAAAAGAGTCCAGCAACTCGAGTCTAGTTTTTCTGCATTCCTTTTCACAAAATTTTCGTAAATATTTGTGCGGTTCGATTGCGCAACACTGCGTGCTGCGTATTTCATTTGTATGTTGAGATGATGGTCACACATTTTGCTTGCAATGAATTACCATGAATATGGTAGAACAATATGCATAATACAAGTACCTACCCGCTAAATAGTTTCAAAGAAATACTAAAGACAGGAATTCCCTAATCCACAAAAATGTATTGAATATCCACTACTAATATTTTCAAGGCCAAATTTATGATAGGAATTTACTAATCTTTAAGTATTAAAAACTCATAATTTCTTTACTCCATAATCTATTTCTTAATTTTTTCCTTATTTACAATTTGTCATAATATTTCTATTATTCTATGCATACTTATTTGCATATTACATACAAAAATAGATAACAGGACTCAAATTTGCGATCGAATTCATTTGAAACCGAGCGCAACCATTCAAAGAATTTGAAAGTGAAAAGGAATGCTGAAAAGGGTAGCAGCGAGCTGTTACGAACAAGAACACAAAGCGTGCCACCCGAACATGAGTGGCACGGTCCCTTCGTCTTTCCTCGTCGTCCCCTCGCCCACAATAAACTGGTATGAGACTCTTTTGAGTCCCAATGTGAAACGGCACTAAACAAGCGCGGAAAAGAAAAGACACAGGCACATGCAGATGAATGTGTGTGTGAATAAATACACATGTGTGTACTACCATGGGGTTGTTTGGCGAAAATAAAATAAAATGTAAATAAGTATATAAATGATGCCACACGTTGACAGCCATTTCTGTCACTGTTCTCGCTGCGGCGATAAAACAAAATAAGCGAATGTAAATCACGTGATGTGCTTTTTTGTCTTTGCTTACTGTTGTTATTGTGCCTTTGGTTAATTTTTTTATAAGCAAAAAATTTTAAAAATTAATAACGAGCAGCGAAAAATGTTTTATTTGATGTACCTGATTTATATCAGCAAAATAATGATGAGTGGGAGGGTCCAGCTGGCAAAACATCTTCATGAAATTCAGCATGGATGATTATCCAAGGCAACGATGTTATATCCGAGAAAACTGTTCAGATCGGACGAGTATAATATATAGTTGCCTTACAAACTGACGGATCAAAATAAAGATAGAAATATTTTACACCCTTTCAATTTTTTATACCCTTTCAATTTTTCCTTTATACTCATCAACTTTGAATATGCAAAAACCATTTTTTTTTAATTGTTGAGAATAATTTACCTTTTCGTTAAAAAAAACCTGCAAAGTCTTGTTGCATCATGCAAATTTTAGTTCTTTTTTAATTTCTAGAAAGTACTCTGTTGGATGTTTTCAAACAAAATAATAAAAAAAATTATTTTACTAACAAAACACTTAGAAAATGTGTTGCAGGGTCAAAATGTTGTTAACGCATAATAAGTAAAAATTAGTTGGCTTTTTAATTCATTAAACTTCAAAATGAAATTTTGTATTAAAATTTCGAGAGGATTAGAAAACTAATTCTAATACGAATAGGGATGACCTGATTTTGACAGCTCGTGGCGGTCATGTTTGTTTACGGATTTATGCCAAATTTTGTCAGTGTGTTCAGTAAGATTTGCCATTCTATCATGTCACGTTTCAGTTTGAAAATTGTTCAAGATTATTAAGCAAATTCACATTTTCCATAATGGCTTCATCAAGAAACAAAATTGGCGCCATTGGGAAAAGTCAAATCCTCGTGTGGTTCAGGAAATGCAATTGCATCCCCAAAAGTTGACCATGGTGCGAATTGTGGTATGGCGAGTGATCGAAAATTGACGTAAACGGTAGATCATAAATTGTATAAAATTATCTGCATAAAAAAACATAACCCATTTTGACCAAATTTGAGTGTTTTATTTCATTTTAACATTACGTCGTTCTTGTCTGTAAACTCTGTACATAAGTATGTATATTTATTAGAAAGTTTAAAGTGTTAATCATTTTATTAGAAATATCTTCCAATATGCCACAAAATGTACATATATAAAAATTCCCCATCTCATAAAAAATTAATATTCCTTGTATGTGTCTCTTTAGCGGAAATTAAAAAAAGACGAAAATTAAAAAATAAATATGGACAAAATTTATATACTTATTGAAAATAAAAATAAATTTAAAAAATTTCAATCCAAAAATTTCAACGAATTCATCCCATTCAAAAAAAAAAAATTGTTAAAAAAAAAATTTTTTTAATTAAAGGACAGTATTTTTTTATTATTTTATATATATTTTATGTATGTGCTTAGTCCTTAAAGAAACTTTTTGTCTGTTATTATTGTTTACTATGTGTGTTTTCAACTTTTTTTAATTTCCGCCAAAAAGACACTCTTTGTAAATTTAGAAGCAAATCAGGTGACCTAATCGAAAGTATAACCAAATAAAATAAATCGTTGTTTTTTCGCTGATTCTTTAAATTTTTCTAAAAAAAAAAAATAAACGTGAAATAACAATAAATTTTTAAATGTAACCTTGTGGTTATGAATCTCTAGTTTAAATATTATAATATTTTTATTTACTATGAACATTTATGTATATGCTTCGAAAACGCTTAAATTTTTCACTAATAGCAAATTGTATATAATTTGTATACAACTTAATCATCTTAACAATCTCACAAAAACAACTAAAATTCCGTGATTTACATTAATTCACTGAATTTAAATTAAAGGAAGTCTAAGATATAAATAATATATTTGTCTATGACTTTAAAAGGGCAGTTCTTTCAACATACATACTTGTTTGTAGCGCGTCGTCGTCACACACGTTGCCACTTTTGCTGCTCGCAGACGTAGCCACACGCTAGTAACACAATAGAAATATTTCCGAAAATTTCTTTTCATACACACGCCGACACAATAATTAATATTAATATACGCCTGCTATTTACTGTTATTCACACCGGTCTGAATAAAGCAAAATACATGCAATAAAAATCAATTCTTTAAACAACTGGCAGACGTTGCTGCTGCTAATGCTGACGCTGCTTTGCACAACGTCACACTTCACATTTTCCCCAACCGACTGGCCTTTCCACCCCAAAACACCTTTGCGCTGGGCTTTGTAGCTGACCCACACCACCACTTTCCACCACAATAAACTTGCAACAAATTCGAAATTATTTACGGACGTCCACTTTTTCTAAAGCAAAATGTTGTATTGTAGTTATTTTTAAGCGCTTGCTTTTATGGCAGTTCCAACTGGAAAGCCTGTATACAATTTGACAGCAGCTTTGCCAGCTACGCTAATAATTTCCGTTTTCCGCTTTGTGCCACAACAACAACAATGCAGTTAACAATATGTTATTTGTGACCTGTCAATTATTTGCACATACTGTTCACTGCTTTCACTTTGTGTGTGCCAAAACAATTGCTTATTTACTTATTTATTGGCCACTTTCAGATATTAGCGAATTGACAGTGAATTAACTCCGAATGTCTTGGCGCACGACTTGAAACTGCATTCAAAGTGTTCTTTGTTGGCGTGAAAGGCAGATTTTCGAAATACTAATAATCGAGGCAAGTCCAATGGTTGTTCGAAAGAGCAGCAAGGCAAATAGTAGAGGCTACAAACAAATACGCTTGATATGGCACATGCGCAGTGTATATGTTGTTATTTTCAAATTTAACGCGTATGCGTATAAGTGTGCCTCCCGCCCTCTAATTGAGGCACAGGTGTATTTGATTAGGTTGTATACGAGAGCGCAACCCCACGGTTGTTGCGTGTGTGACCGGATGTGTAGAGAAGCTTTGCTTGTGTGTACTTCGAATAAGAGACTCTCTATTCAGAATCTGCGCAGACTTTATGTACGAAAATATTGCAAAAAGCTGAAATGGGTTTATTCGAACACCATTAAATTTGACTGGTATTCGTTGTTCGTACCTTGTATAACTGTCAAATTTCTACATAAAACTTCGTTTGTTAAACCAATAAATTGAAAATATATAAAAAATTAATAAAATTTTTTTTAAACATTTCAAAAGCAAGAATTACTTAATATAAGAAATAAAAAAAAATAAAATAAAAAATAAAAACAAAAAAAATAAATTAAAAAAAAAAAAAAAATAAAAATAAAATAAAATAAAATAAAATAAAGATTAAATAAAAATAAAATTAAAATAAATACCAAAAAAAAAAACAGAAACAAAAAAAAAAGAAAACACAAATATTAAAAAAAAAAAAAAAAAATTAAAAAAAAAAAAAAAAAGTTAAAAAAAAAAAAATTGTATATAAATATAAAGTACAAACTTTTTGGAATTCAATGAAACACATTCTTTAAAAAGTTTTTTTATTAATTTCATGTAAATATAATTGAAAAAAATATTTTTAAAAATATTTAAAAAAAAATATTAAAATAAATATTAAAAAAAATATTTTAAGCAAAATATAAATATATAAATATAGATAGATTGAAAAAAATATTTAAACAAAAATATTTTAAGCAAAATATAAATATTTAAATATGTAAAAAAGTGGAAACTTTTTGAAATTCAATAAAACACATTCTTTAAAAAGTTTTTTTTTTTATTAATTTTCCATATTTACATATTTCACAATCTGAAGCGAGTACACATTTCTAGTATATGTTTACCTACAACTTGTGCTTCCTAAACTATCTGTAAATAATAAAAAAAATATGCATATAGAAAAGTTTTCGAAGTTAGCAACAACTCTCCCTTAAATAAGTCTGATGCCATAACGAAGGCATTTCGCTCGCCAAATGTATTCAACGCATTGAAATTCTTTACTCACCCACTTCGTAAGCAAAAACTTCGTATATAAGATTATACGAATATATGTACGTATACAAAGTAATGATAGCATCTGACTTCAACGCCCACCGCTTGTCTACTCAACGTCATTCCAAAAGAAAACTGTTTTTGTATATCCTTTTCCCTTCTACTGCGCGCATTTATAAAGCAGCCCAGACTCAATGACGCCTTCGTCTGGCCCATTTATTATTCACTCAAGCGGGCATGAGAGTGCAAACGCACAGACACTTTTACAGCAGCAGTCTGTAAATGCAGAGAGCTATATATCATATAGGTATAAGATACAATTCCATAGATGCATATATGTTTTTAAGTATTTGAATCACGCAAATTTCCATTCGAATATTTCGCCTTGAAATATGCAACAGACAAATGTACCTACGTAATTTTAAGAAATAACGTTGGTCTAGCTGTGTTTTAATTCCTTGTATCACTCCATTGACATCTATTTATTTTACACAATTTGACTTTAGTTGATGCCGCCGCCACTACTAAATTAAACCAACTCTTTCGATTTGATTCTTCTGACTTATTATTTACTTTACCAGTTAGTTATTTGTGTTTAAATGTTTTTGTTTCAATAGGCGTAACATAAAATAGACCGTAAAAATTAATATTTTTTGTTGTTGTAGCTTCATAAAACAATTCTCAAATAGTTTTTGCAATAGAGCTTCCGGCCTTAGGGTGGATATACATCAGGTACTTCCCGTTTTCGTAAAGTCAAATGGCGACCGTTTTGATGAAGATAATCTGTAGGACAACCAAATTTCTTGTTTATAACAAGATGCTTAGTTCGATGAAGCAAATTCTACGCCGCAACATGTTTTTACTGCAAATATAGAAAGATAGATAAGTATTAGCGTATATATATATTCACAATATTAATATATTTCACACAAAACAGTAGCATTTATAAATCACGATTCATTCATAATTCATTAAGTAATTTCGTCATTTTCCGAAGCAAATTATTATTATTTCTACTATAGTTAACCAAAATAAATTTGTATAACAAGCAATAAAAATTATTAAAATTTTAATAACATCGCTCACCACTTCCAATGTAAAATGTCAAAATTCCGAACGGTTGGCACTTGTGTTCGCAAATTGCTTTCCAGTACACCATGAACACTGCCAACTGTCATATGCCCTAGCCGTAGCAGAAATGGTAGTGCATTCGATTTGACAGCACCATGCCTTTGCAACACTCTGTTATCGGTGACGGCATATTCGCGTTTCGTGTGCGGATTTCTATTAAAAATTCACTGCTTTTAATACACCGATTCAAACAAATTTATCACCAACTAAAGCATAATGCATTGTACTATAAGGATTTTATGAAATTTAGTCAGGCAAAGAGAAAAAAAAACGTGAAATTTTGAAGGCGAAAATTCACTCCCAACTAATGCGAACATCGACGAGCGAGGTAAGTTTCACAAATTTTCTTTGTTTTCACCCGAATGCGCGCGTCACAGAACTGAATTTTTATTCGGATTCCACCTCCCTGTTATGTTGCTGAGCGGTGAAAATACACAGCGCTGTTGTTGTATTAGAAAATGTTGCAGCGACATGTGCCTATACAGGGTGAATTTCGTTGCGCAGACGCGGTAAAACATGTTGAAAATTACAGTGCAGTATATAAGTAGGCTCAAAAGGGTAAAAGAACCCCCAAAAATTTTTTTCATTACGTTTTTAGGTAAACAATCGACGCAGTAAATTACGCCCCTCCTAAAGCATGGCCAATACCAAAGAAATTAAATATGTTACCGAAGTGCCGAGTAGTTTGAAACAATTGGCTCGTCTTGTTGTACGCGGTTTCTATTCTATTGAGGATGCACTCATTATTGATATGCTGGTGCGTAATCCGTGCATGAAGGAAGATGATATTGCGGAGCTGCTACGGTTCGAAAAGAAACAAATGCGTGCACGCATATCGACGCTGCGCAATGACAAATTCATACAGATACGTTTGAAAATGGAGACCGGACCCGATGGCAAGGCACAAAAGGTCAACTACTACTTTATTAATTATAAGACTTTTGTGAATGTTGTTAAATACAAATTGGATTTGATGCGTAAACGTATGGAGACAGAGGAACGTGATGCCACAAGTCGTGCCAGCTTTAAATGTACAAACTGCGATAAGACCTTTACCGATCTTGAAGCCGATCAATTGTTTGATTTCAACACTGGAGAATTCCGTTGCACTTATTGCGGTAGTCCTGTCGAAGAAGACAGCTCGGCGATGCCAAAGAAAGATTCGCGCTTAATGCTGGCACGTTTTAACGAACAATTGCAACCACTTTACGATTTGTTACGTGAAGTCGAAGGCATTAAGCTAGCGCCAGAAATACTCGAACCTGAACCTGTGGATATCGACACAATACGCGGGTATGTTAAGTTACTGCTAAATACAATGTTAAAATATTTTTAACTTATAAATGTCTGTATTTTTTTGTAGCATTACGAAACCGCAGAATCAACGGCCCGACGGTCAGCAATGGTCTGGAGAGGCAACGCGCAATCAAGGTTTTGCCGTGGAAGAGACGCGTGTCGACGTTAGTATTGGCGGTGAGATACAAGAGGCGGTTACCGAGCGTAAGGCGCGCCCTGTATGGATGACCGAGAGCACGGTTATAACGGAGGAGAATCATGATGCCACCGAGGCCATACTTAACGAAGCGGCACAATCATCTACACAACATATGATAAATGTGGGCGGTGCAACCAGTAATCGCAGTAAAAAAGAGAATGAAGATATTATGTCGGTGCTATTGCAACACGAAAAGCAATCAAATCAAAAGGATGTGCTAACAAAGAGCCTTAAATATGGTTCTTCGAATGCGGACTCCAGTGATTCTAGTGACGACGACAAAGATATCGATAATACTAAGATACGTGAGTATAAAAACTTTTCGAAGTTGCTTTTGTTCTACAATTGTTATAAAAAACAACACTATCATTTTACTTTAGCAAAAGTTGATTACAACAACTATATCAATTCTGAATCAGAAGATGACGACGATGATGTTCCTACGGTGCTTGTAGCCGGACGACCACATCCTATAGATCAAATCAATGACGAATTCATAGCTCAAATGACTCAGCAAGAGAAGGAAAACTATATACACGTTTATCAGCAGCATTACAGCCATATTTACGACTAAAGCCAATTGTCTATAGGGGCAAGCATGGACTGTAAAGTTGGAATTATGTATATTTTTTACTAGTTAAATCTTATTTCAATTATACTGCAATTTTATTTCATTTGGTGTTGAAGTTCACAACATCGTTTCATATTAGTAAAAGCACACCACTATCTATTAAATAATAATAATAACGAAATGCAATTTTTTTTTAATCATGTCAACTTCAAAGTAAATGTGCAACATAAATGAATATGTTGAATGATAATATAAGCATTAATTTAATCGATAAATTAAAAATTAAGTGAGAATTGACTTAAACATAAACGAAAACTTAGCAATAAATGAGGAAAACTACTTGCAAATATTTTTTGACGCCTTCACTGGGTACTTGAGTTGAATATTCGTAGCAACATGTTGCGAGATGCTCTCGTGTATGTTTATTACACAACTCGCTCTGTAACAACATCGAGCATCTGTCTCGTTGACACTTCAATCATTTCTGACATTTCAGCATTTTTTATGGCTCGTTTTCGTTATTGCATTTCATGAAAATACAAATGTAATAATTCCCGGACAAGTGTCAATTACACATTTTATTTAAAAAATGTTAAATTTGTGAGATAAATGCAACGCAGTGTAAGTAAAAAGCAAGCGACGTTTCTGCATGCAAGCCACATGTTGGACACTTGTGTAGGCAAGTTAACGTGCTAATCTAAGAATTCTAATAAGAAAGTGTGTGTGGAAATGCGGCGGATGCCATGTGAGAAAATTGTGAAATTCATACAAGTGTGTGTGATTATATGAAATGCAAAACCTGTCAATTATAGTGTGCAATATCGCTTTTAATTACAGTAGAATGTCACAAGTCAAATTACTTACATTTGTAGTAACACAGATACTACGATAAATTTACCTACACATAACAGTTACTTTATTTAAGTTAATCAGCTGTTAGTGACTAAATAAAACATTAAAAAGATTGGAAATTAATTAACATACTAGATACGGCACGATTTCTTTGGGGCCACGATATGATAGTATGGACGTATGAGGAGGTCCTCAGGATTAAAAAATTCATACATATATACTCGCCTCAGACTTATAGTTTTGTTGTATTTAAAACTCAAAAGTTGTAAAAGTAATGGAGCTATTTTACTATGTTTAACACATTGGGTTTTTTTATGCATTAAAAAACGCATAATAATCCTATATCTTGGATATATTTCAATGGGTTGAATTTATGCATTAAAAAACGCATAATAATCCCATATCTTGGATATATTTCAATGGGTTGAATTCAAAAATCATTTTAAATGCGTGAAAGTGCGCATCTCAGCAAATAAACACCACTTCAGTACATTAACTCCTATCGCCCGCATGTATTATTTAGATTTTAAGTAAACATTATTAATTATTGTATACGCAGCAATATTACAATGATAACTGCTTACAGGCATTATACGCTCAATTTGGAAATTTAGTAGTCGGAGCATTGACATTAACTAGGCAACTAACTGAGAACACGTCAAACAACAGGTTAAAAAGACTAAACCTACTAATAGTTATCACTTATATTTTTGTATATTAGAGTGTATTGCGTTATCAACGGTAAGTGAAAAGTAAAATGATGATAATATGTAACAGAAAGATGCAAGTACCACGTAAAAAGATTAATAAAATACTTTAGTGGCACAGATAGTCGGGCAAGATAATTTCAAACACGTCAAGGAAGCTTGCTCACCCAATAAACATTAGTAACAATTAACCATTGGAATTGTACACATTGGAGCGCCAGAACGCAGACGAGCAGCGATGACACCGAAAATTGACAAGGAGCTGCTGCCGATGAAGGCGCATTATTTCTTCTTCAATGCAGGTGAGAATTTTATTTAACTATAGAACTGTAGGAATTTCATTGTTCGATAATCATACAGGCTATAAAGTAACATCTTTACTCACTTTTTTGTACGAATGTATAATATATAACCACTTCAAGTTATAAAGTGTCATATAACACAATCTACTATTTAATGCCAAATTCTGCACAAATATACATATAGGCATATCTATATAAGCTTTTTATAAGTTAAACTATATTAAGTTTTGAAACATTTTCACTGTGATTACAATTTAAATTCAATTTAATTTAGTTCATTTGGTTGGTTAATACGCACTTCGCTATACTATTTATATTCTATTTTGATACATATTCACATGCTCAGCTGTACATACTCAGAAATCAATTGGGGATTTTAAATTGTCATCGGCATCGTCATAACACACTTATTACACTTTATTTATTGTTGTTGTTTTTTCTTTATGCAGGAACAGCGCCGGTAATGCCATTTATGCCCACATTGGCGCGTCAATTAGGCTTCTCCACAGTGGTCATTGGTACTATGTATACGATTTTGCCTATTGTTGGCATGCTGGCCAAGCCGCTTTTTGGATTCGTCGCAGATCGGTATGTATTATATAACAATTGATTTTGAATATTTTATTGACGGGAAAGGCATGTGTTGTTGTTGTAGTAATTGTTATTTTATAATGTTTATGATGGAACTCGCTACAATGTTACAGTAAAACTACAAATTTCTTGAAGATATATTGTCAAAGAAAAAAATTTTCTATACAAGAGCTTGATTTTGATGTTGTTGTAAAGGCAAAATATTGCCGAGTTGACAGTCCATTCCGGTTACATAGATCCGACTATCGTGGCAACGGTTTGATTTTAATAAGTCAGTTTGCTTGACTTGTTCCGATATCGGGGGTTCCGACAAATGAGCAACTTCTTGGAGAGAAAAAAAACATGTGCAAAATTTTAGAATATTTCAAAAACTGAAGCGCTAGTTAGCGTAAATACGTACAAACTGACGGACATAGCTAAATGTTGTTGTGATTGTTGTTGTAGCGCCAGAAACTATTCCCAAATTAATTTCGAGGAATGGTGCCGAGTTAACAGTCCCTGACCGGATAAAAATCCGAATCAGTTCCGGTTGCTTAGACCCGACTGTCATGGGAACTGGACATGGCTAAATCGACTCAGCTCGTTACGCTGATCATACATCAAAATAATTTGGAAATTTCTAACCGTATGACAAGAACAACAACGCTATTTGATGACTTGATTCTACAACACAATAATTATTTATAATGCTATTATTTTTCAATGTCTATGGGTTGCAAAACATATTTTTCAGCTACCAACGCCATCGCACACTTTTCCTCATCGGCGAAGTCCTTACCGCTATAGCATTTTTCCTCATACAGTTCACACCAACCATTCCAGAAGCACTGCCCACAATGGAATTCAACTGTCACGGCGGCGCATCTACACTCAAATACTATTCCGAATTTGATAAGTGCATAGAAAACAATCTAGAAAACTATTACGGCGATCGTGTTTTAACCTGCCAGCTACGTTGTCAAGCAGTTCCGGAGAAATTAGATTTCGTTTGTAATAACTGGTTACATAACAACAGTTCAACTAATAGCAACAACAAAAACGTTACATGTCCTGATCGCAACAATCCCCAACTGAATTTCACCACTTTCCTAGACATGAGTAAAATGGAGATGCCAGGTGATCATTTATTCTTTGTCATACCACACGATAGAGGTCAAATGAATGGTGAAAATATAACACTAAATTGTCCATATGATAAACCGTTATTCAATACAAGCTGTCAAGTAGAGTGCAATGATAAATATTTCCATAGTCAATTGACACAAAACACAGCGATCAATAATGCTGATGTGTGGGGCATGCATCAATTTTGGTATTTCTTCATTATGCTCATCGTAAGTTGGATCGGCATGGCGGTGGTGGTAAGCATTGGTGATGCGATTTGCTTTTCAATATTGGGCGATCGTCATCATTTGTATGGCAATCAACGTTTATGCGGTTCCATTGGTTTTGGTGTGTTCTCCATTATTGCCGGTGTGCTGGTGGATCAAATGTCGCACGGTAGCGTAAATAAAGACTATACAATCGTGTTTTGGATGACATTGGTTATAATAGGTTTCGATATGATCGCGTCTACGAAGTTAAAGGTAAGCGTTTCAGTTTATTGCTCAGTGTGGTGAGTATAATTTTGGCATGTTATTTATATTATATTTTGCAAAAAATGTATTGAACTTGAACAAAGTTTATTGAATATATATACTTGTATATATGTTAATAGTGTGACAAGCTGAGTCGATTTAGCCATGTCCGTCTGTCCGTCAATATCGGACTTCTATAGTAAATAACTGTCATACAAACTGAACGATCAAAATCACATTCTTGTATGGAAAGCTTTTTTATTTGACGAGATACATTCACGAAATTTGCCATGGATTATTGTACAACGGTATAATCTCCTTAAATATAGTTCAGATCGGACCACTATATCATATAGCTGCCATACAAACTGATCGATCAAAATCCAGTTTAGGTATGGAAATTTTTTATTTGTGAATGGTATTAAAGCTTCGGTGCAACCGAAGTCAGTGTTTTTTCTTGTGTTATTATATATTAGTTCACTTACACCTTTCAAATACCCTTACAGCACACACAAACACACCTCTCCCCCAACATACTCAAGGATGTCGGCAAAATGTTTCTCTCTATTCGTTGTGTGATCTTCTTCATCTGGTGTATCTCGATTGGCTTGTGCACAGCGCTCGTTTGGAACTTTCTATTCATGTATTTGGATGAGTTGGGTGAAAAACTGGAGGGTTGTCAAAATTCCATGAAAACACTCGAGGGCATAGCCATGGGCATACAATGTTTTGGTGGCGAATTACCCTTCTTTTTTCTCTCCGGTTGGATTTTGCGTAAGATCGGTCATATAAATGCTATGAGTTTAGTACTCTTTGCTTTCGGTGTTCGTTTCATACTCTATTCGGTGTTGGTGAATCCATGGTGGGTATTACCCATTGAAATGTTAAACGGTGTCACATTCGGTATTTTCTACTCCACCATGGCTTCGTATGCGAGTATTGTTGCGCCGCGCGGCACTGAAGCGACTATACAGGTGAGACATGTTACACATGTGTAACAACAAATGAATTAATAAATTAATTTTTCTCTCTCACAGGGCTTAGTCGGCGCCATTTTCGAGGGTGTGGGCGTATCTATGGGCAGCTTTATCGCAGGCTATCTCTTTGAATCTGTCAACGGCAGTGGAACTTTCCTGATTTTTGGAATTTTCGCCTTTATTGCATTTATTGTGCATGTGTTGGTGCAGTGTTATTTGCAGCGAAATGCACAAGGGGCTGCCGATGCTAATGGTAAGGAAACGGTTGTAGTAGACAATGTTACACAAGAAGTGAAACAGTTACCTGAAGAAAATGATAAAATTTGGACTGTAGATGTAACGAACCCAAAGGCTGTTGGCACTAAAATCACAGAGGTTGATTTAAGCTGAATTTAGGAAGAGTTTTAAATGCGGGTATTGAGGGAATTTGGTACTTAAAAAGAAATTGTAGTGTAAAGAAAGTGTAAATAATAATTAAATAGTGGTGAACTTCCTATTTACGCGTTTTTGTTCACCTTAACCGTTTTTGAACCCTTCTGTACACTAAAGTGAGTTATAGCTACATAAAGTGTAGCCTTACGTGAATTTGAGTATTTGTTATAATTCGAAAACAAGGTCAACTGTTTAGCACTAACAAAGTGAAAAACCAGTTGTGTTAAATAATTAGTTTTCAAATAACTGTCATAATAGTTGCACTCCATTAAAAAAATCATCGAATTTCAAAATGCGTTATTTAAAAATTAGTAATCAGACTTTTTTTTTCAAAGTTTTTGGTAATTTTATACAAAAAATTTGAATTTTTAATAAATATAGTTTTATGCAAAATATTTTATCTGAATTAAAACTGTAAGCTTTACTAAAAGTAGAAAACGCATAAAAAATTATCGTGCCCCATCGCAATTTCGAAACGCTTTGTTGAATTTGTGGACCACACAAGTAATTCAAAAAACAAAAAAAAATATGTTCCTTACTACTTTGTAGTTTGTAGTTAATTCTTTGAAAGTATGTGTACTCATGGAAGTAGATTGTTTTAAGATATGTGATTTCGAAAGTAATTTGTAGCATAGTCGAAACTATTTTTGTCTGAGGCATGTTAGCTTTTGTTTTGCGAGTTTTTTGATTAAATATTGTGTAACGTTATGTGTGTTGTTGAATATTGTACCATATAATAGACCATATATAGAACATATTTTTGTTTGCGAAAATCGAAAAAAGTGCGTGTATGATCGATAAACTATCAACACAGCTGTTTTACAAAACCGTATCGATGATTTATGCCTTACTACAACAAAATAATATAATTTTGTCGATACAATAACACCGAGTCTCGATTTAGAGGCTTATCAATAATATTAAATGACATTTTCAACATTTCCATTGTTTTTAACGATATTATGACAGAATTATGATTAGAAAAAGAAAAGTTTAGAATTTATGGCTTATTTTTCAAATATTAAAATAATAGTTGCGACATTTCCGGTGTTTTTAACGATATTATGACAACAGAAATAATATAACTTTGTCGATACAATAACACCAAGTTTCGATTTAGAGGCCTACTAATCAATATTTGATAATTATATTCTCAACATTGGCGATCTTTTTTTACGAATATCTGTTTAGAAAAATTAGAATAAATTTAAATATTTTAATTGCATTTTCAAAGAACAATATTAGAGGAAAAATGTTAGATCTTACTCTCTAGTGACATTTTAATATTTCCTCTATCACTTTAACCCAATTTCGGAATTGATAATTGCCTACTTTACTGGTACTTACACGCTCTTATCTCCGTTACATTGTTATGCCTTTTTTTCCATGTGTGCGCTACAAATTCAATTTTAGTTAATCGGTTGCTATTGTCAGAACTTAAATTTATATATTTGTGTGATATTATTATCTAAATGTCTTTGTAATGCTATTACACTTTGTTGTGTAAATATTACAATTATTTGTCAACGCCTATCAACTTGTACATACATACTTTCGTATATACTGGAAAATAACGCGACGCATATCTGTGGTAAATGTGTTGCATGCAAATGAGTTGTAATGAAATGTAACAACTACTGACGATGTATGTAAATATACCTTCTTTCGCGTACGTTCTATATAATTTACATTTTATATTTTATATTTAACTTACCTAATTTTCTTATATATATTTTTTATTTATTTACTTTTGTTTTATTTAACGCTCATTTGGACACACTTTCAGGCGCTGTTAAATATTTGACGCCCAACGATGCAATGCATATGCTCAACGATCAAGAATACATTATTGTTGCATAAATAAGTGATTCGATTACATTAGAGATGATAAGCAAACAACTGTTGCAACAGTTTTAGACGCACCTCCTGTGCAAAAGAACGGTTATGCAGTCTAAGGGTATTTTATATGGCCGCGGAATGTGTTGTAACTGCCTGCTCTTGCTTATAAGTTTTATTTTTACCCTGAGCTGTGAACATTTTCAACTTGTTGCGTACTTATTAAGAGTGGCAATGACACGCTGCTAAAGTGAAAGCTGTGTACTAACTCAGTTAATACAACATAGTATTTATATTTTATAAAATAGTATGTAGAATGCTTGGTGCTTTTTTACTATTATTCTATTTTTTTTTTTTTTAGCAAAGTATTTCTGTGTTTTAAAGATCAATTGTAGAGGCATTACTTTTTTCTATACTTAGTGTTTACAAATTTTGTTATCATAAAAACTTATAAAATATTGGTTATATTGTATTATCTAAGCAATTAATTCTATGTATATCACAAATGCTGTAAATGCACAAAGCTTTAGATTAGTTTTAACTAGTATTTTTCATGAGTGTTTTATTGAATGTACTGTCAGTTGAAATAGTTTTTGCTATTTACAAAAAAAACTTTGTTTTCAATATATGCATCTGGCTTGAAGCCGCTAAATACATATATATGTTTGTAATATTTAATACTTTCTACCATTAAGTCTCTAAACATAATTATTAATTTCAATTGCTAAATAATTTTGTTCGATACTCTTACTACAACCATTTGTTGCTGCAACACCAAAGCATTTGAGTATTGTGCACAAATTTTTTCACTGGTCACAAAAACTTAAAAAAAGAGAAAATAAAATTATTTTATTTTTTTCAATTTTTTTTAGCATAGTATATAAACATGCATTCTTTATACTTTAAGCATAAATTGTATACGATAAGGCATGGCGCTAAAGAGCATTATTTACTTTTAATTATTTGTATTCATATATATTTAATATAAAATATGTAAAATTTTACCTTTTTAACTAAAATAATATGCAAGTCTTTGTAATATGTATATATTTTTCTAACACAAGGTTACATACAAAAATTCCCAGAAGGTTTTCGTTGACTTCTGTTGTTCGCGGCCTCACTCCGATTTCGTCGCAGCTTGTGTTTGTTGCTGTTTGGCAATTAAGGCCTCTTCTTGTTGTTGTTTCTGCACTTTGCGTTGAAGTTCTTTCTGTTTGCAGGCCTGTACGTTGAGTGCGCGTTTCTGGTTAATAAGAGGAAATTTATTGTCAATTTTTATGCAACATTCTTACTTTTTCTTAGATAAACACTTATCGCAGCACAATTAGAAGTTATAAATTTATAAAACATAATTGTGATTATTAATTACAATGCTGTTACAGTTACCTTCAGTATTTTAGTGCGCTGATAAATTCTTTGCATTTGCTTTTTAATCTTAACCAACTTTTCTCGATAAGTTTTCACATTGTTCATCTGTAATAAAACAAAAGCGTCAATACTGAGCCGAGACTATTATACCCTTCGTGGTTGCATTTCTTATAGCATAGAATGGAATAAAAAATTCTATATCTTAATTTCGGTGAGTTTATATAGCTGATATATGCTACATTAGTCCGTTCTGAACAATTTCTGCGAAGATTGTACCGTTGCCTTGGGAAATAAATTATGCCAAATTTTGTGAAGATATCTTGTCAAATAAAAAAGTTGTCCATATAAGAACTTGATTTTGATCGTACATTTTAAAAGCAGTTATATGCAATATTTGTCCGACACCGGCGGTTCCAACAAATTAGCAGCTTCTTAGCGGGAAAAGTACGTGTATGGTCGAAATCTCAAAAACTGAGGGACTAGTTAGCGTATATACGGACTAGGCTATGTGGATTCAGCTTTGGGACGTTTCCTTCTGGGTGTTAAAAATTTCGTGGCAAACTTAACATACCCTGTTCAGGGTATAACAAAAGTGATATGTCCATTTAAACAACATTGAAAGTACAATTTATTGTTTATTTTAATTGCAGCTATTTAATGCTTGACGAAATGCTCTATGATAAGCAACTGTCATAAAAGTTCTATTGTTTTCGCCTACGAATAAATTCCCGCCGATTTGTGTAGATATAAGAGAATAAATTTTCACAAATATTTGTGTGTTCAAAAAGACTGATGAAAAGCAAAATTGTATTTAATAAATTAAATAAACCTCGAACACGAAAAAAAACCATTATGCTCGAATGAAAAATAAAGTGTAAACAGTAGGTCCACAAATAAAAATCAGACTTCAATTCAAATATACTCACCATTTCGTGCAGCTTTGCCGTCTCAGCGTTATCCAATTTGAATTTCTCCGCCGATAAATCTATGTAGATTTTATTCTGTTTACCACTTTAGGAATACATTCATTAAAAATTTACGTTTAAATAATTCAAAACCACAAGTCATGCACCACTTACATGAGTTCCTTTAATTGGCCGCGCGCTTTTGCTAGCGGTGGCTCAAATATTTGCAACAGACCTGTGGCCAACTGCTTGGTAGTCAACGAGTCGGGCGGTTCTTCGGTTGTATTTGTTGTTCGCGTGGCATTGTAGTCTTCGTTGTTATTGAGTTTGCCATTGTCATTAGTTGACGACGTGTTGGTGTCACTATTCACTTGCGTTATTGTCACATCTGCAGTGAAGCTGTTGTTGTTTTGCAGCGTTGCGGGCACTTGTTGCAAATCACCTGCGTTGCTCGGTTGCTGTCCTCCCGCCTCCACGACATTTCTAATACTAAATCGAAAATACAGTATTTGCTTGGTAAATAAAAAACACAAGTTGATTGCGTTAATTTATCACTAGGCAGTCGTTACCAAGCAGTCAAAACGTTTTATGACCTAAATATATTTATAACACTTTGTTGTTATTGTCGTGTCACTTGTAACTGCCGACCCGCTTGGAAGCGATTGCAATACCCCTTGATTAGTAATCTTATTTTAAAAACGCTTACCTTTCTAAATTACTACTTTTTAGCATTTTGTGCAGCATTTATATTTATATTATGATGATATTCAGATCTTTTTTATACTAACTAGGCAAAGAAAATTCATCAACAAATAAGAAAATTTAAGAAAAATGATGTGAATAGGAAGCACAAAAACAATAGTGGGTGCTGCCAGACAATAGAAAAATTAAATATGGGTTTTTTGGTTTTCTTTTGAAACGCTTCGGTAAGAAGCACACAATTCATTCACGGAAACGGATATGCGATAATCTGTGAAAATTAATTTAATTCCAACTGTTAATATTAAGGAAGTGATATAAATATTTAATATCGATTACATAACATTAATTTACAGCAATTAAGAGAATTTAAGGAGGACGAAACAAACAGTCCAAGTTTGTAAAGAGAAAAATAATAAGTGCTGTCAGACTAAAACCACATTAAACAAATGTTTAGTAGCAATCATTTTATACAAATCGTTCATAATTATGTTTATAAAATGGTGAAATTGCGAAAAATTAATATATGTACATAAATACAGATTGGTACATTAGGCATTAAATTTACTATTATTATTTTAATGCAAATGGCGGCTAATTGTACACACACATAGAAATAACTTATAACGAATTAATAATTGGCAATATAAAAACTAGTAATTTATTAAAATTCGTGCTGTGGCAGTCGCGTTTATAAGGAGCTGTGTTGATAAGAAATATTATAGCCCAGAAATATATTAATAAATGTATTGTATTAGCACAGCTCATAAATTATTATACCAATTGTTAGAAAGTGAAAAGAGTCATAGACCAGTTCAATATTCTTTCAGGTGGCGAATTGAATGGTGTAAATTGAGGTTAGGGGTTTCATAAAGGAGAGTCAATATTTTAAATATAAAATGTCGATCGCAAGTAAAAACCAAGAAAAAACCTTAACTTCGGTTGCACCATAACTATAATACTCTTCACAAATACAAAAAATTCCATACAAAAACTTGATTTCAATCGGTCCGTTTGTATGCTATAGGCGTTAGTGGTCTGATCTGTGCAATTTATTCAGAGGTTGTACCGTTGCCTCGCTGAATTTCGAGAAGGTACCTTGTCAAACAAAAACGTTTTCCAAACAAGGACATGATTTTTTTGATCGTTCAGTACGCCTTCTTTCAGTGAACTGCGTTTTTGATTGCAATGTACCCACATAATTATCAATGTGCTACTAAATGATCTACAAGGCAGTTGTAGATAAAATTGTGCTACATCCAATGTTTGAATCTTATTCCTGAAGCAGTCTCATATAGATGCAGGTAATAAAAAATCATATTTTTTTTAATTCATATTTGTTTATTTGGTATGTCATATATATTTTAGCGATGTATGTATGTATGTAAAAAACTAAGCATTAAATAAATGAAGCTAACTAAATACAAATGCTAAAGCGTATAATTTAATGTACATACATGTGCAGTTATATAAATTAAAATAAAACTACAAACATGAAATAACTAAAATAAAACCATTAAGTAAAGAATAATTGTAAATAAAAACATTTACAAAAGGATTTATATGCCAATAATTATATTATAATTTAACTTCGATTTTAAAGACTATCGGTAATTGTTGTTTTTGTTTTTTGTCAATTTAAGCAAATAACAAACACTTGCGCTCAATTATAAGTATAACACTCCGTTAAACTAACTAAATCTAAAGCTGTACTTAGGTAAACCCGTTGCTTTAGTGCGTATATTTCAAACATTTGCTACGCTTATCCTTTCTTAAAATCCAATATATCCTCTATTGTGGCTGCACGCGCTCCATCGTTGCCGTCCTTTTCCAATTCTGCACGCACACAGCGGCCACAACACGCCTCAGATGGTTTGTTATCACACTCGCCCACAGCTGGTGGTTTGAAATTCGGTGTCCACGGACCAAGGCTGCCAGTCGCATAGAAGTCCATTGGATACGCATTGTTTTTCGGCGCTGCATTATGTGGTGTAAACTCGACATCACCTAATACAACCGACAGTTCATAGGGATTCAGTAAGGGTTTGGCAAAAGCGGTGCCCCAATCAATGGATAAGCGTGGACATGCAATTTGCACGAATGCATCAATGCTGGCGAAGAGTGCCAACTTTTGTGGAAATATCTCAGATAACAAAATAGTTGTTGTTGCGTAACCTTTAGCAAACAAACGCTTTTCGAGAAATCTATGCACACGACTACTGCCTTGTCTGCCCAATGTGCCAACAATAATGCCAATCTTTTTGGCCGATCGTGCACGTTCAATTTCGCGATAACGTATTGACTGCATAGCACGATGGTCATACTCCTCAGTCGTGAATTTCTTATCGTAAGGGTCATATTTATATGCTTTCAAAGTAGGATTCGCTATCATACACGACTCCAAATGAAATCGACCATCGCCGAGATAGATCAGCATCTTAGCGGTGGCAGGCAATTCAGGCGATGTGCAACCCAATATTTCGCCGGGACTTAACGGTTTCGCTTGTGGCACAATCACATCATAGCCAGCTGCTTTAAGTTCAGTGGAAGCCGCTTGTAGCGTTGTCACAAATTGTATTGTACTCACGAGCGCAATTTGGCCATCAGTCGGTTTGAAATTCAATTTTACGGAATCGATGAAATGTAATGGATCAATTTTAATATCCACAAAGACATATAGCACTTTAATGTCAGTAGTCTGATCGACCGGTATGAGGCAGCTGTGCCCATAATGCACCAATAAATCGGCACCCAGAGCTTTGGCGGTGTAATCGTCCACACAACAGGCGCCATAAGTGACGTCACCCATGATGACGGTGTCGGCATCGGTGAAACGTTCAATTATATCGGCTATAATCATTGAATACATAAGCAGTCCCTCGGGCAGTTGCAATGCCACACGCTTTGCTTTCATATCACGTATGCGCCAGATGGTTTTGTGCAGCTCAAAGTTGTAATTAGATGGCAGACGATCGATGGCCTTCTGTAGCACTGGATCATCGAGCAGTGACTGTGGAATGCGATTGATGCGAGCTTTGGGCTTGAAAACTTTCTTCGGCTTGGCTCGCACCACAACAACTTCATTGTTGGTCGTGGCGTTAGTGGCAGATTCTTTGAGTGTTAAGTCCATGCTGATAGGCTGGATGACATCCAACATTGTGCTGGAATGAAAAAAAAAATAATTATTTCTGCTTTTTTACATTTTAATTTATTTACATTTAGTAATTTATTTATGTCTAAGCATGCCTAAATAAATAGGCAGGGGTATAATAATTATATATAATATAACAAATCTGCATATATTGATGTTAGTATGTGTATATATTGCTAATTATATGTGAATGCTTAATTCAAGAAAGGCGTTACTACTACGATTATATGCGTACACATTCAATCTATTTCACAAGGTTTTTAATTATGATTTCGAAGTTGTTAAGTTGTTGCGATTCATTTTTGAAAGTTCTTTCGCACAGACATTCATTATGTGTAAATGCATTTAAACTCGTTTTATTATTACGTGAATTATAAAAGTACGACCATTTAAAGCAATAAGTTGGTGATTCATAACTCGATTAACCCAATTTTAGTACTTTAGTATAGAGTTTAATACAAATCAGAGGGAAACACCGTATTTTTGTAAAAACTAAAGTTTTGTTGCAGTAAGATGTGGGTTGTTGAATTTTAAAATGAAAGTAGTTTCGAAATTTAACAACTAAATCGTTATTATAGCATATTAATCGATATAAGTTTTGCTAAAAATACTAATATTTTTAAAGTAAACAAAGAAATAATTTAAATGCGGAAATCTGAACTACTTGCATACAAATGCGCTCTGTAATTAGTTACAAATAACTAATTACTAAACACATTTCCATCAAAAACAAAAAAAAAATTATTTTTATAAAATTTTTTATATTTTTAGCTAATTAAGAAAATGCAAATCTAACACCCGAATAAGTAGATAGGTATTTAGATATGTAAGCACATATGAACATACCACAAAAAGCGATGGCCTACGTGAGCAATGGGCACTATGCAACTGCTGCAACAGAAACATCCCAGAATTCCAGACAAGATATAGATAAACATAGAGGACCACAAAAATATTTGTACATGTAGGGCTCATAAGTAAAAGGCGTTGCATTCGGTCCTTCTGATACACAGAAAGCTTTGAGATTACAGGGTGGTACACCGGCAAGTGGTAGCGTGGTAATTTCAAAAAGGTGGGCTCGCCCTAAAGTATTCACATATTTACTAATATATTAAAATACAGTAATAATCGCTTTTTTTATTATTAACGGCACATTTTTTTGCAGTCACATAATAGTACATCTTTTTTCAAGACGGAAGTTTATTATTGAATTTGACTTTTTCACTAACGGTTACTGAATTGAAATGTATACATAACTATTATGCAAACAAATATATACTTATATGAATATATGCATATATATGGCTATTTTTAGTGCGATTGATGTCAAGTAACTTTTCGCACGGCTTACCTTGGTGTTTGGCTTTTGTTGCTGCTTTAGATTAATGTTGTTCCTTTGGCTTGTAGAAAATCCAAGCTTAGTTCTTTTTTATTTTATTTAATAAGCACACTTTATGTCATTAAACTTTACACTATCTCTTTCGAACTTTTTGCGGCTTTTAATTGCAATACTAGTAAACAATTATTAGAATTTGTATTAATCAAGTAGAGCGCTCAAAATCTCCTATAATAAATATTTGAATATTTATTATTGCAAATCTTTTGCTGATTGCTGCATTTCACAACCGAACCAACTATTCATAAATTATGTTTTATTATTTTATAATTATTGTAACGTCATTTTTAATTCACTCTTTTAAAACTTTCACTCAAAATATATGTCTGGTTTGTTCTGCACCGTCGCAGCAATTGATTTGTGTTCGCTGTTAATTTTTCTTTGCTTGGGCTTGGTATTGCACTTTTGTTGTTTACCTTCACTGTTTCTTTTGTTGTTAGTCTTATTTCGCACGTGTTGTTGTTACTATTGTTGGCTTTTGAAGTTTGTCCACCATTGGCACATGTTCATGAGTCACGTAGGCACCTGAAAGCAGAGCAACTAGTGAAATCAGCTGTTCGCCTTTTATGACGGTCGCGCTAATGAAAAAGTTCACACACGTTAACACTATAGTAAATGCTGTTCAACTTAACAATTGCACAGTTTTTGCGGACTAATTAAGATTAACACGTTTTTTCACTTAATTATCGCGATATTTTGTTAGAATTTACGAACTCACCAAAATTTACAGGAAACACATGAACAATATCAAACGTCAATGACAAATTGAGCTGTCACATTTATGATAAGAGCGCAGTGTTGGAAAGTTATGTAGAAACAGGACAATAACTAAGCACAGGGTTACACATTGTTTGAGAAATTAATTAATGAAGTATAAATGCTTGAAATAAAAAATTTATATACCGTTAATCAAATTCGATTGAATTATTGCACGCGATATTACCGATTTCGCTATATTACCGATTTCGCACAGCAGTTTTTACATACAATGCAATATTTGGTTAAAAACAGGAAATCAAAATATGTGTTTCATGATTTTTTTATTTTTATTTTCGTGCAATTACTTGTATATACAACAACAAAAGCGTAACATCAATTGAACTATAGTCATATATTTTTATATGTGCTACTTTCATTCAAGTTCTGGCGCTGTCAATGTCAGACGGCTCAGCTTCATCCCCTTCTTCTGTAAAATGTTAGAAAAAAGTTAACTCCGCACTTTTCTACATAATTTTAAGAAAAAATAATAATAAATCACCTACGCTTGTTGCCAGGTATACGTCTTAAACGTTCCTGCTCTACAGCAACGAAATACTCCGCCGCTGCCTGTTCACAAGCATCTTTAAATGGCGCAACATTGATGCGTCCGTTGAGCATAGTTAGATCACCTTGGTCCTGTCCTTGATTCGTTTTGACTTTCAGCTTGATTTCACGCGATTTGGCTTCCAAAATTTTCTCTCTGCGATTTTCACGTTCAAACATCTGTAAAGAAATATCTATAGTTACTAAATAATAATCGATAAGTAAAATAACAAGCAATATAAATGTTTTATACGTTACAAAAGTGTAAATCTTAGAAAAGTACAAAAAAAAAATTACTCATACCCACCGCCGTCAGCAACGGTTTATCATTTTTCGCCGACATCACCATGTTATCGGAAACTTCGATAAGAAAAGTTGCGCCTAGCTTGCTGCCACAGCTGACATATTTACCGTTTTCATTCGTGCGCACGCAATGCAGTGGCTCATCGCACACTTTTACCGTTAAAACTGGTTGATTTTGTTGTTGTAATAAATCCCATGTGTCCAGCACGCCATCCATGCGCGTGATGAAGAATTGAGAAACCCTGAAAAATAATAAGATTTTTAAAATAATTTATTTGTATATTAATCTTTGAAGAGAATTTACTTCGTGTAACTCCAAGCACCATCGGTCAGCATAGCGTCACTATTTTTAGTCCATATTATCGAGCTCTCACGGCAATCTTCGGACCAAATGCGAGCGCACCAATCGCCAACGGTTAGGAAATTCTTTACAAAAGCCGGATTGCGCGTTATGGCATACACCGGGCCCAAGTGGCACATCATCTAAGGAGAAAAAGTGCACTGACAACACTAAACAGAAAAATTATTTTAGTTATAACTCACCCTTATCTGTATCTTCTCCATGGGTGTCTTGCCTTTCCGATTGCACGAGAATAACATACCCATTTCGGTGCCAGCCATAAAACGTGTAGGTATGGTAGTTTCATACTCCAGCACCGAAACGCCAAACGAACGTGCCAGATCTTGCTCGTCGCTACGTATTGGATCCATCAACAGTTTATCCAATGGTTCACTCAATTTGCGCGTATCCCACCACAGTACTTGTCCATCTGAACCGCCGGAGAAGAATTCCGTGCCACTCTTAGAATTATTCCACAACACGGAGTTGACCGGATCACGATGACATATCTCACGTTCGCTTATCATCACCGGATATTTGCCATGTCGCGTATCCCAAGCGGCCACCTGCCCATTATACATGCCACTAACCAAACTTGTCGGATCTTTTTGATTGTATTCCAAACATACACAGGCCACTTTGGGCTCAAGCGTTAGAAACGGTTCATTTGGATTCTCAATTTCCCAAATGTACGAATTACAACGTTGACCCGTTTTATCACCCTGAAATTTCATATCACAATGACTAACCGCCATTTTTATGGCACCATCCGGTGACCAAGATAAATGTGTAACGGGCACTTTTATGGGATTGGGATCACGATAAACGTTCACGGTGCGTGAGCGACACGGTTCGGGCAATGGCGCCGGATCGAGATCCTCAAAATAATTTTCATAAATATTCACTGCATTATTTTGGTGTATATAATGTTCCATCGGGTTGGTAAGATTCATCACTTGCGTTATGTAATTTTCATCTTTCTCAATTTTCCTTTTATAACGCACCGTTTGCTCCGGATCGGACATATTAATGTCTTTGGGCCAACCGCCTTCGTTATGCGTGATACCGACATGCTTGTATGTAGCACGCTCGGTGTTCGCGTCACTCAAGGCCATTTGTCTAGTGAATAGCGTTGCGCGATCCACTGGATTTTTAAGTATGTAGCCCTTAGCGAGCTCTTGCGAGGAGTTTTCCGAAAAGATGACCTCATCTTTATCGCTGAAGCTTACGCTAGAACCGAATGTGCGGCGCTCCTTCTTAAAAGCGTACTCCATTTTATTATTTTTTAGTTATTATTACAAAATAAATAATTTCGACACATCTTCAGCGCAACTGAAGGTATGCAACTAATAAATCTATATTAAAACAATAAAGTGCTGTTGCATGGCAACCACATTATATAGCGCTGTTATTTATTTTGTTCAATGGCAGCACTGTTACTTAACTAATGGCCAAATGCCAGTTGTTCATTTTCCGCAACCGTTATTTTTAGCGCAGTTTATTTGTTCAAATATTTTTCGAGTGAATTTGAAAAATGGCAGATGTTACGCCCAAAAAAATAGCTGAGCTTAAAGCAGAGCTGAAAAACGCGTTAATTACTGGCATTATACTTACAAAAACAACACCCAACACTTTTCTCGTGCGCGATTCGCCTGAATTTCGTGGCGTTATGAGCTTCACTCTGCGCGACTCTAAAAGACACATCATCAATTGTAAAGTTTGGGGCACCAAGGAGATGGTCACTGAATATAACCGTAAATTCAAGATTTATGACATTATCGATGTCATCACACCGAGCGTCGTGCCCACGATGGTGTATGATAAATCCACTTTGTCAGATAATGCGCGTTTTCAACCGCTGCCAACGGTGCCGTTCGCACTAGTGTTAAATGAAGGTCAAGGGCGTTTGGACACGAACAACTACCGCGATATGAATGCCTTTCGAGAGCTGCACAATTTGCGCCGCGTACCACATAAGCCACTCTGCAGCGCGCTCAAATTGCAAGATGTGTGCTGTGGCGTGAAGGAAAGCAGCACAAAGGACCAGTTTGTCGATTTACTGGTTTTGGTAGCGGCACAACGCCCGGTCAAAGAGGTGCGCAGCAAACGCAATGGTGAAATGCTGAACTGTCTTGAGTTGATTGTGATCGACAACAGCTACAGAAACGGCGTTATATTGAGCATTTGGCAGGCGGATTGGATACAACGCGCGGAACAGTATTGGGAGGGTATGGGCACGGCGTTACACTTGATAGAGGTGAAGCTTGCATACTCAGAATTCTACAAAAGCACCACGCTAACTTTCAGTGGACGCACTTTGGCCTACGAGAATCCCATTGGCTTGGAGGTGGATGCCTTAATGAAATTTGCTAGCACTCTAACAACTAAGCCTTGGGATTCGTTGGCGTACACAATGAATAATCAAGTGGATGGTAAGCAGTTGCTTTGCAAGGTTCATAACTTAATAGTTTTAACAATATTTTAGCCGCTGAAATAAAAACTCAGATGACAGTTAAACAGCTGTATGCGCGCGCTGAAGGTGAACTCAAAGATGACAAAGAGCAATTCACCGTCGTTCTCTATGCCATGTTGACACATTTCGATTTTGATGGCATTGGTCAAGTCATCAGTCGCAGATGGTAAGCGGAAATGTTTATAAAAGTCATATCATACCTTCAAATTACACTCATTTCAAGCAGTAAGTCCTGCCATACTTTGCTTACGAGAAATCAAACTGAATGCGATGCACCTAAATGCCAGCTAGAATTATCGCTTAACCACGATGGTGCGCAGTACGAATGCTTCTTCAACATAAATGTGCAGTTTAGCGATCACACTGGTACATTGTTGGAGGCGCGTCTTTCAGGCGCTGTAGCCGAACGCGTGCTTGCTCTAACGCCACAGGAGTATCAAACGCTAAGCGGTCAAGAGAAAGGACAATGCAAATGGAAATTTCTGATGGATTATTTTGAGGTGAAGATGTTGGTGCGTAAAGCGAACGCTGTGCGCCGACAAATGAGCATTATCGTGGTGGATATGAGAGCTATACAGATACCAGAGTTAGCGGAAAAAATATGCGTTTTTTAATAACAAACCAAATGTAGTTTGACATCCATAAATATATGAGATTTTTTTTTATAAAAAATATATTTATTTGCCAATTATTTATCCTTGTCCGCCATACGCTTTAGCACTTTTATGCGCTTATCACCGATTGCTGCTTCCTTTTCATCCGCGCCGGCTGCGCCTGCTGCGCCCTTAATACCGGCGCCCTTAACGCCAGCGCCTGCCACTCCCGCGGCCGCAGTACTGGCCGCATCACCTAAAACACCTACAGTATTCATGTTCTCGGTACCTTGTAGTGCTGCTATCTCTTCGGCAGTAAGTCCCTCTAAGTCCGATTCGCCTTCGACTTTCTCGAAATCGGTGCGCTCCATAACGAATTGACGTTCTTGCCGTTTTTTGTCAATATTGAAAGTACTGTCCTTGAATATTTTCAACATATCCTTGAATTCGGTGTCATTTTCGATAATCTGCAAGAATTGGTCTGGGTCATCGGGATCAAGTTCAGCGATCAAATCTAATTCGGCTTCGCGTTGTTTTGTCTCAGCTTCGAGAAGCGAGGTCTTGCGTTTGAGTTTTACTTCCTCGACACGTCCTTCCAGCAATTTCGACCGGAAAAGTTCGCGCTCGAAGAGCTGGAAGGGAATTTTTTTTATAACATTCCGTTCTAAAAATGGCTTGAGTTGCCATTTATCAATCATACTCACCGCCATTAGCAATGCTTTGTCCTTAGCAGCACTCTGTCTCAAGGCCGGATCTAGCTCAAACAGTTGAACATCACCATTTTCTAGCGCCACCGCCAAGTATTTACCATCCGGACGAAATTTGACATATTTAATTGGTTGCTTCAATTTCAGCGTAAATATGGGTTTTCTTTGATGCAGTAGTATGTCCCAAAAGTCGACTTCGCCGCGCGCATCACCAGTGACGAAGAGCGAACAGCGCGCGGGACTCCAGGTGCCGCACAACATTTCATTCTTCTTCTTCATTAGTAGTGTCGTGGGTGCACCTTTACACTCCTCCGCCCAGATTTTCACACACCAATCGGCGGCAATCAGAAAATTCTTCACAAAAAACGGATTGCGTTCGATCGTACGTATCGGACCCGAGAAGAGGCGATAGTTGGAGATTAACACCTCCGTCGGCAACATACCTTTACGATTGCCGATAAATATGTAACCCTGATCGCTGGCGATAATATAACGCACCGGTATGGTGTACTCGAATTCCAATACTGTCACGCCATGTGCGCGTTCGTTCTTCTGATCGTCGGTTGGTTCGGGATCGAGTAGAATTTCTTGTATGGGTGTTTCCAAATCGCGACCATCCCAATATTTTACAGAGCCGTCATATGAACCGCTGTAGAACTCAGAATTCGACTTCGAATGCACCCAACACAAGGCGGCGGCCTCCTCACGATGTGCAGCCTCGAGCGGTGAAATCTTTAAAGGCTTACCGCCATTGCGCGCATCCCACAGCGCCACCATGCCAGATTGCAGTCCTGCGGCTATAAAATTATCATCACGTGGACAAAAATGCGCACGTCGCACAGGCTCCATGGATTCGAGCACCACTTCTGGATTCAAAGCGTTGCCTTGATCCCAGACATAGAACGAGTTAGGATTGCCATCAGTACGCATTGTCTCCGACATAGTTTGTACATTTTCATCTTCGTCTGCTATATCTGCTATCGGCTTCGTAGTGATAACTGCTGTGCGTGACGGTGCCACCCTATTGAAGTTGGTCGGTTGCGATAGGAATTTGCGCCGCTCGCTTGGCATCCAATCAAGCACGGTGATAGGTCGCACGGGTTTTAACGGATCATGAAAGATATTGCATTGCCGCGCCTCAAATGGCATGCGTATGTCCTTGCCCAGCTCTGGTGGCAAGTCGACGAAGAATTCTTGATAAATATTTACTGCGCTATTTTGTGCCGTCACATCCATCGATGTATGTATCAAATGCATCACCTGCACACCCCAGTTGTCCTCTCGCTCGATCTTCTTGCGGTATCGCATTGTCGACTCTTCGTCGTTGATGTTGACTTCGCGCGGCCAGCCGCCCTCGTAATGATACATGCCATGCTCGGCGTAGGTCACATTATCAGTCTCCACCCAACTGTAGGCCATTTGATCGCTCAGCTGTGTGCTGCTATTCATCGGATTGCGTAAGATATATGAGTTACGCATTCGTTGACTCGGCTGTATGCTCAGCATTAGCTGTGTGCGATCGCTTAGCAAGGGTTGACGTCCAAAGCGGCGACGCTCCCGCGCATAAATGTACTGATTGTGATACATTGCTATAGAAGTTCCCTACGATTTCTGGCAACTTCACTTGGTGAAATATAATATATGCAAAAATATATATTTGTGTCAAATAACGGTAGTTTAAAAAATTTGAAATTAGTATTCCAATCAAATTTTTTTAAACAATTTCGTTGAAAAAACTATAACTGATATTTTTCTTTTTGACATTTAATAGAAGATGTGTAGATGTGTCTAAATATGTGTAAATCGCGTGTTAGGAAGAGTTTTAAAATATTTTTAATCAGAAAATAACTATATGTTATCGGAACATTTTCAAACCACTTCACTTTTTCGCGTCATGAATTATATATAAAATTTTCTAAAAAAAATGTTGTTGTCTATTAGTTCATCACTGTACATTTCTAATCTTTTATATCGTCGCTAAAGTGACGTTACAAAAACTCTTTTTAATTCCTTTAATTTTCCCTGTTTTTATATCGTAGGGTATCTCGATCGCATCGTTTACATTTTGTTGTATGAATTTTTAGCTAAAAGTGGCCTCTTCAAATCTATCAACCGTTCTGAAGAGTCATCTCAAAGTTTAATGAAGTAATATATTCTACAGTATCCGACAAAATTATGAATACCTCACCACACTTTTTACTATTCTTTGACTATTTCTTCCAAGAGTTCGACAATTAAAAGGTTGCAGATACTCTTAGTACATACTGTATGCAGGCAAAGAGTAACGGTATAATTTTTACAGCTAGCTTTTGTTTCGCTTGCATAATGAAGAATTTTTGATTCCCACTTAAGTAATTGTCTGGCAATATTTGTGTTTCTGTGTGTAAATAATTTTTATAAATATCAGTAAAAAAAATTGGGAAAGGTAAAAATTCATAATCATAAAAAATCTGCAAAAATCTCGCTGCACAAAAATTGGGCTTACAAGTACAAGATAACTTTATATGCCAGCAATGAGCCCAAACATATACATAAGTCGGGTTGTGAAAGAATATTTCGATTAAAAATCCCTAGAGCCCCTACCATGGCCTACCCAAAGCCCTTAACTAAACCCTATTGAGCATTTACGGCAATATTTGGATGGTAACTCGACCGACTTCTTGTCGTTCCAATAAACGAGAGATTTTTAATAGATTGAATAACTGCTGAGAAAACATACTGCAATCGCTTCTTCAGAACTATACAGCATGCCTCGATGTTTTTTGGCTGTAAATAACGCTAATGGCAATAACACTAAAAATTGATGCTCTCCTTAGAAGGTAACCTTATAATATATAGGTGTACATACTTATGTCGTTGCTGAATATTTCTCTTTTTCAGATGATCGCGTGTTTTGCAACTAATAATTCGAATAATGCAATACGTTCATAAGCAAAATAGAAAAACAAAGCAATAAATTTCACTTCTCAAAATATATGTATTTTTGGTCTTTAGATTCATAACGTTTACATAGTTTCGTCGGATACTGTATAAGGTCCAGTAAGATTTATTATTGCAGTGAATTGAAGATTATATTCAGCCGATTTAGGTCAAATGTGCACCTTTTCGTTCAATAAAACTCTCCCTGACAGTTAATCCTGCCAAGCCAATTTGCTTCGGTTCACTAGGATTCGACCACGACCGTTTTCGTTTGACGTTGTCGTGAGAGTGGAAAAAAGATGTATCTTCCTCAGCGGCCCCTGTTTTGGCATAAACTTTCCACTTATTCAAAAAAAATGAGACATATATACATCACAATTAAGGAAAGAAACTCGAACATACAATAAAGAAGAGACTGACTTTCTGGCATTTTAAAACATTTGACCAACTTTCAAGGCCTTTTGGCAGTAAACGATTCGATAGAAAATTGGGTTCAAGGATATCAGTCTACGAGGCAAAGAGAATTAATACGAAAAAATATTTGGGTATCCTTAGTACTTTAAAAAATATCATCAGAGAGGCTAAGTTTTTCCACAAAAACAAAGTTTGTTAACATTTAAATATATATTTACTCTTCACTTAAGTTTTTGCTTTATCATATATGCTATATATGTACATATGTATAACAGTATTTTCTGAGTAATGAAATGCCATCAAAATGAAGCGAATTATCGCGAATATATAAAAATGCGTATAAATAAATAATCATAAGGATATTTTTCTTTTAATACAATATTTTGTATGTCTAAAAATAATTTTAAAAAATTATTATTTGCACATCTCTGCTTCAAGTTTAAAAAATTTCTTTTTAGCTCTTTAAAATATCGTGCTTAAATACTATTTAACTAATTGTTTGTTTTCTTATCAACATTTTTTAACATTATTTTTCGGAATAATTTTATTTTTATTTGCGCATTTTTAAAGTGGGCAATAGTTTGTTTTCCATTTTTTTTTTTATAAATATCGATTAGTTTTTCGTACTACAGTTTTTTATATTCAAGCTTAAATTACACAGGTCAATAATAATTTTTTTTCGCATGGGTTTTACTTAATATATTCCGATTATATAAGCAAATATATATGAGAAAGGACGATTACAAATCGAAAATATTTTCTTTTTAATCAATTATAGAGATTTGACCATTTTTAATTTTCGCGCCCATATAATGTCGGTCTTCGCGCGCTGTTCTCGAAAAATCTAGAATCTGAACCAAAAATACCATGTCTGAAGATTTTCGTAATACAAGTCTGAAGATTTTCATAATAAAATAAGAAACTTAAATCTATTAAAAAATAAAGCAGAGTCATTGGCATCCCGATTAAAACATAGAATTTACTGAATTCTGATGTTCGAATATCCCGCCCTTAAAACGACATGATAGATGGACTCTGTTTTTGTCATGAGGTGAGAAAAATTATGGATTATGATGTTTTCCAGAAGTTACTTAGTAGTGAGGAGAAAAAAGCCTGTAACAGTTTGAAGGATTTCCTTGGAAACCATAGCGCATTTCCTTGGAAACCATAGGCCTCAAAATTATTGTGAGTCCTCCACGATCGAATGTAACATAAAATGGCTTTTAAGATGCACATGTTACGTTCTCATTAAGGATAATATGGGAGTTTATTTGGAGTTTATACTAAAAGCATGATGATTTATGTTAGTTCAACTTTATCTAAATCACATTTTTGAGAGCTTTGAAACTAACTTAAAATGTGCAGAAAGTGAAAATTATTATATTATATAATATGTACCTAAAATTCTTGAAATCGCACAATATTTTTTAAACATTTTAAACAAAATATATTTAAAATACTAACATAGCTTTACAATGAAAATGAGAAAATACAAAGACAGTTCTAAGTAAAAGTGAAGATACCTGTCATTTTGTTGTCATATGCTGTGTTGTGTTGGACGAAATTGGCAGTTGTAAGATAGGCGTTTGACACTTGCTCTTTTCTTAAAATCACTTATTTTTCAAGAGATATTTTATTGAAAATTCATAAAAGGCAGAAAGCTGAAAATAACTTTAGAATCAAATGTCAATCACTGTCCTAAATCCTCACTTGATTAAGGAAGACAGTTAGTGTGCATTTAAAAAGTCGTATTATTTCATATATCGATAGAGATAACATAATAAAATTTTTAATCGATATCTCAAATTGTTTTTGAGTTACAGCCTTCTAAAGTGTAGCCACGCTGTTCAATCAGCTTAACCAGTTTATCTTTAAATGTTTTTTTCGTAAAAGCATGCCGGATTCACTGCAGCAGTGGAGGATCTGTGTTTCTTCAAAAATTTTATTGGGTCTTCTTAAAATGTGCATTAATGTATATAATATATAAATATATTCTTAAAACTTGCAGACATTTGATAAAGTAGTTATCGCTTTTTTTGATTCTGTCACACTAGATGTGCCCCTTAATCTTTGAGGTATAGGCAGCCAAATTACGTCATAACATAAATATAGCGTTCTTACTTTTAAATGGTAATTGAAAAAATAGTTATAATTGAATTAAAGAAGTTACACCAAAGCATATCATTTCGATTGCAACCCTGGCAACTTAAAAACATATTCGAAGAACAGAAAAAAATGAATTTAAATGTTGTTGTAGGGTAAGAAATAAAAAACATATTAAAGTAAAAATCATCTTTTATTTTGTTACACTTTTTTAATTTAATTTATATTCTTATATTTTATATATTTATATATAAATAATAAATATAATTTTATTTTGTTATTAATTTAGCTGGATTTGATTTAATTTTTTTTTTGTTTAAATTTGAAAAAAAAAACACGACCATTTTATTTCGATTGCAACAAAAGTATGAAAAAAATGTATGTAGGCTCATTTTTTTATAGTTTTATTCATCATTTTTTTCATATAGTTTTATTTTTTTTTATATCTTATTTCATATAGTCTTATTTAGTTAATTTAACTTCAGTTTATTCCACTTAAGTTTTTTATTAAATAATTTTATAAATTAGTTAACATTTAGCCTGTTTTTTGTTGTAATGTTTTTAAGCATTTTGTAGTTTTATACCCTGAAAAGGGTATATTAAGTTTGCTACGATGTTTGTAACACCAAAAAGAAAACGTCAGAAATCTGAATTTGGGCAGGTCAGAATATATTATATATAAATGACCATCGTGACGATTTAAGTAGATTGAGCCATGTCCGTCTATCCGTCCGTCTGTATATATACAAACTAGTCGCTCAATTTTTGAGATATTGATATCGGGCCACTATACCATATAGCTTCCATACAAACTGAACGATCGAAAGCAAGTACTTATATGAAAAACTTTCTTCACGAAATTTGGTATGAGTTATTGCTGAAGGCAATGGTGCAATCTCCGTTCATATCGAGTCACTGTAGCATATAGCGGCCATACAAACTAACCGATCAAAGTTTTTGTAAGGAATCTTTTGAATTTGCGAAGGGTATTGTAGCTTCTTTGCAACCGAAGTAAACGTTTTTTGTTGTTTCTTAATAATTTTAATTCAATTAATTCTTGTTTAATTTAATTTTTGTTTATTCTATTTTATTATACATTTTTTAAATTTATTTTTCTTTAACTAATTTAAATTTGTCTTATTCCACTATTTTTTTCTGAATATTTAATTTTTTAGTTTATTTAAATTTTGTCTAATTTAATTTTTTTTTCTTTTTTTTTCATTTAAATTAATTTCGTATTTTTTCATTTTT